CTTGGTCTGGGCAATGAGACCAATCGTGTGACCTTCTGCCTCTCTGACAGAGATCAGAAACTGCACAGAATATCGGGAGACCCTTGTTTATTAAGCTCCTTGCCTGAGCTAGAGTTTATATTTGATGCTAATCTCCTGTGCAAGGACACTACTGTTTTCCAGCTTGAACTAACGCAGAGCCAGTGGAGGCGGTACACGAAGCTGTCTGGTCAGCCACGACCAGTTTTATAAGCATGTATACAACAACAACAACAGTTACAGTTTCACTACATTTGTGTAGCATCTTTATTGTCGGAAGGACCTCATCACTTGTAGGGAGGGGGCTGCCAAGCATATGTTTTCGAGGGTTGTGGTCCCGAAACGTTGACCCACTTTTATAAAATAAAATTATAAAATAGTTCAGCTCAGAACGATGTAGAAATAATTCCATTCATTTAGTTCCATGGCCCTGCCTTTCTTTATTCCATTTTATATTTCTCCTTTTTCAAATATTTATCTGATGCAACAGTCTGTGAGCATGATTTCTACACAGAGCAGCATCTCGAGGTTGACTGATGACCCGAGTCACTGGGGAGCCAGAGAGCAATGTAAAAGGTATTTCCATACAATGTGTACTGTAATGTGTTGCCCATTTGGTTTGATCTTTCATCTCTCTCCATTGTCATTGCAGCCACAGGGGCCCTGATCTCAGTATGTCTACATGATATAGTTTCACTGGTCTCCTTGCTCCATGGCTTGAATTAAGCTGTCTGGTCTGAGGTAAACAGAGGACTTCATAATATACATCCAGCCTGATCAAATGGACTCCCAGTTCCTCCCATGGAAATAGGGCTGTGTTTCTCGCATTTCCTGTCAGGCTGTGGCTTGGTAGTGCTAATTCTCTTTGATATCTCCTCTAGTTGGAGAGGATATGCTCTCCTTTTGTCTGAAGATAGATTGACTTCAAAGGAATCACAGATATAAACGTTCACAGGCTCCTCCCCAGCCCTTTCCCAGGGCATTTGAATAAATGACAGCACCTCCTCATGTCAGTGTCCCACACGTCTCGGTGCAGTTTGACCACTGTTTCTCTTCTGCAATGAGCACTGGTTTTAGTGGGAGCTGGTTTTAGTGGGAGGTGGTTTTAGTGGGAGCTGAAAACTTCAGCGTTTCCCAGTCGAGTGGATTATTGACCTGGTGGACAGGTTTACATCACTGAGACGACTTATCGGAAAGAATGCAGAATCCAGCTCAGGGTGAGTTCCATGTTCTCGTTTTCCATTTTCATTCTGAATTCGCTCTGTTGAAAGCTCTAAGCAAACAGCACTTCAGAATTGTTTCACATGTAAAAGGAATAGGTAACCTGTTAGTCCCTTATTAGTGCTTGGTCCTCTGCATATTCCACGTTCAAGAATAGAAAAGCTTGTGCAAATCACATGAAAAATGACCATGCCAGTAACAAAACATAATAATCTGCGCCTTATCACATCTTCAAGACGTCTCAAAACGCTTCACTGAATATATTGTAAAAGTGAATTGACTGTATATTTTGTGGGCAAAACTATGTCACTGTCTTTAGTCTTAACATTTCGCCGACAAAACACACAGTAAATTCACTCCGCAGTATATTCTGTGAAGCGCTTTGAGACGTCTCAAAGACGCATTGTATCAAATGCAAGAATTATTATTATTATTGGACTAAAGAGAAGAAACTTCAGCCAGGATTTTGGCTGCTGATCACTTTCCAATGACTCTCTTTAGTTTGCTGGATGAGCATTGAGTGTGAGTCACACCCACAGGTCACAGAAAGCTCCTGTGTGAAGCTGTAACATTCACTTTCCATTTCAGTCGCAGTTCGCACATTTACCGACTGACCGACCGATGATTTAATGATTTAATTGTTGGTAAACCTTGATAACATGCCTGAATCCCATGAATAGGCTGTGAGTTTGAAAGCAACCCTGAATTATTTCATTTTCTACTTTCCCATTTTAATAATAATAATCCTTGCATTTGATATAGCACCTTATCATGTCTTCGAAACATCTCAAAGCGCTTCACAGAATATACTGTAAAGTGAATTGACTATACTTTGTGGGCAAAATTTTCCTCCTGAATGAGACAGTGTTGAAACAGGAAACAGTAACAGCAGAAAAAAAAGGATTGTTTTAATTCAAAGTCCAGTGGAAGTTCTGTGTTGCCTGTGGAGGAGGCTCTCGAGATACTTAAAGTATAAAGTAACCATATTCCCAATTCCATCTTTAGAGCAGCTGCAAAGCCGGCAGAAATGACGTCGTAATGAGGATCGTGGAGTCCTGTAGCTCAGTGGTTAGAGCACTCGCCTCGCAAGCGAGAGACCTGGGTTTGATTCCCGGCAGGGCGAAACCTTGGGCAAGTTTCCTTACTCCACACACACAATTCTGCTTACCAGCAGTAAGTAGGAACCCGGTTGTTCATCGATTGGCGGATCACTTTTCTGGGGGTAAGACTCCCTTCAAAATAAAAAAATGATAATAATAATAATTTGGTCACTGTTTGTGGGACGCTGCTGTGCACAATTGGCTGCCGTGCAGTCTATTCAGCACTTTGAGAAGTCTCAACGACGAGATAAGGCGCTATATCAAATGCAAGGCTTATTATTATTATCATTACTGTAGTCCGGTGCGGGGTTGGGTAGGGGTGTAGTCAGGGAAGAGGGAGACATTGTGACAGTAAATGACTGGCTCAGAGGTTGGAATGGGAGCAAGGAACATTGTCACCAATTTTACCAAGAAAACGTCACTTTTCTTTCTGGCTTAATTTTACCATTTCACTGTTGAAACCCAAGAGAAACAGAGAGCCGGTGGTTCAGTGTGAGGACCACTGCTCCTGGCCCAGTGCCTGCCTTCCCTAAACTCCAGCTCACAGTACTCCCTTCCCCACACCTCCCCCAACACCCCATCACATTTAAAACTCACCTCAGGATTCATCTCAATCCGCTTTTCCCTCCCCACAGCCAATCCCCCTCTCTGCTCTGTGTCAGCAGTGTTTGTAAAGTGCTTTGAAATGGCCTCCTGATGTGAAAGTTGCTATATAAATGTAAATGGTAAACTGTTGTATTGTACCTGGGAGAACTCTCAGCTCCATTTCACGAGGAATGTATAAGAGTTGAAAAGATCTTAATGGTCTCTTTGGGCTCATTTTCCAGCTAGATTTTTTTCTCTTTCTCCTATACACAATGGCCGGTGCCATCACTCACGAATTCAATTAATTCAATTCACTTTACAGTTTATTCTGTGAAACGCTTTGAGACATCGAGAAGACGTGAAAAGCGCCATATCAAATGCAAGGATTATTATTATTATTATTTCTAATTCTTGTTGAATTGTTCAACACTCTTTCCCCGTTCACTGATTCCCTGGACAATAATAATAATAATGATCCTTGATACAGCGCCTTATCATGTCTTCGAGACGCCTCAAAGCTCTTCACAGGATACACTATAAAGCTAATTGACTGTATATTTTGTAGGCGAAACACGGCAGCCAATTGCGCACAGCAGCGTCCCACAAACAGTCGTGGATTGAGTGGCCACATTTTTTTTAAGGGATTATTATCCCTGGAGAATCATTTGTACATACAGGGTGACCGAAAGGTCGTGATATTATTACAATGTCTAAGAAGTCTCAGTGAAATTCTGATTTTGTTTAGACAATAGGGTAAATATCACGACTTTTTTGTCAACCACTCTGCATGAATCATTTCTCAGTCAGGATGTTGAGTGCAAGGAGAAGCTTGTGTATTGAGGTCACTAAAGCCAGGCAGCCAGCGAGCCAGGGGGGGAAGTCATGCAGTGTTGAAGGTGCTGTCCTTTGGATGACAAACTTCACGTCACGTAACTGAAATGCAATATCTCAAAGAGATCATTTAAAGCATCACTTTATCTATACGGCTGAATTATTAATAATAATATAGATATAGCACCTTTCACATTGGGAGAATGTCTTAAAGCTCTTCGCGAGATTTACTTTAAGATGCAGTGACTGTATTTTGCAAACAAACACGGCAGCCAATTTGCACCCAGCAGTGTGCCACAAACAGCCTTGAAGTGAATGACAGTTTTATTAGCTGTACTGTAACTCAATGCTGACTGCAATAACATTTGACAGGAAAACAATCAACAATTCTGCAATAACATAATAATAATAATCCTGGCATTTGATACAGCGCCTTATCACGTCTTCGAAACGTCTCAAAGCGCTTCACAGAATACACTATAAAGTGAGTTGACTGTATATTTTGTGGGCGAAACGCATGGCATAGCAGTGTCCCACAAACAATTGTGGATTGAGTGACCAAATTATTATTTGAAAACATTTTTTGAAGGGTTTATTAACCCCGGAAAAGCGATCCGACAATCGACAAACAACCGGGTTCCTACTCACAGCGAGGTAAACAGAGGTGTGCGTGTCTGTGGAGCAAGAAAACTTGCCTAAGGTTTCGCCCTGTCTGGGAATAGAACCCGGGTCCTCTCGCCCGTCCTGTCTCTGCCTCAGAGACTGGCACCCACCTCTCCCCTCTCTGTAGGATGTGATCCTGAACTTTGCCGGTTGGGTTTTCCTTGTAATTGTCCATGTTGCTTTTCCAGGTTTCCTAGCTAACCTTGCTCTCTCTCAGGAATCGTTATTGCTGACCCTGTCTACAGGATTTCTCCTTAATTTTTTCCCATCGACTGTTTTTCTTCACCCTTTCCTCACAGTGAGAGTACAATACAATACAAAATTACATTTACACGGCGCCTTTCACGTCGGTAGGACGTCCCAAAGGGCTGGATGGTCGAGGTTTGACCCAAGCTGGGGGTTGGAATCAGGGAAGGTGGAGGTCAGGGAGGGTAGGAGGGTGGCCGAATGCGCGGTCGAAGAGGAGGGTCTTGAGACATGCCTTGAACGAGGCGAGGCGAACGGAGTGTGGGATGGAGTTCCACCAAGGGCGAGGGCAGAGGTCACTGAATGCTCACTTTCTCCTCAGTGCTAAAGACGCCCATGGATCTGGAGCCCACCCTGATGAGACCATCGGTCTTTGACCCCATCTCTCAGAGCAGCATCAAGGCGATCCTGGAGGATCAGCAACTGTGGAAGCGGTTTGATGAGCTCGGAACCGAAATGATCATCACTAAAGCTGGAAGGTACAGAGCTCAGTAAATGGGTCAACAAGAGTATAGGGTGGAGGGGGGGGTGGGCTGGAGCAGAGGGTGGGCAGGGTAGGGGGCAGGAACAAGGTGGGTGGGCAAGGGCAGGGTGGGGGGAACAGGGACAGGGTGAGTGTCAGGGGCAGGGTGGGGGTGGGGGGCAGGGACAGAGTGTGGGCAACAGGGACATGGTGGTTGGGGGGCAGGATGGGGGGAAGGTGAGGCGCAGGGTGAGGGGGGAGGCGGGACAGTGCGGCGTGGGGGGACCCTGCCAGTAATCGAACCCAGGTCCTCTCGCTTGCGAGGTGAATGCTCTAATCACCGAGCTACAGGACTCCACAGTGATCCTTTCTGAACATATTTACGTTCCCTTCTTCCCAGTTTAAAACGAGGTGTCGGCAGTGGCTTCACAACACGACTTATATAAAATAGAGGGTGAGAGGGGAAAGCAGCAACGCTCATTTCCTCTTTTATGACTTTCTTTTTACAGGCGAATGTTTCCTCAGTGTAAAATCAGTGTGAGTGGGTTACTTCCTTTCTCCAGCTATATGATGCTGGTGGAGCTGTTGCCAGCTGATGCCTTAAGATACAAGGTAAGCCATCTATCTCCACATACAGATAATAAAGTCCCTGAGTATAAAACCTCTAAATCCACTATCAATGTGTATAATTTCTATCCTGCGTGCAAGTTAGTATTCACTGATTACTAAGTGTATAACAGCATACAAGGACTAGTGCATATGACATCATTGTCAAATGTCAATTTACATGAAAATTGTATCAAACATCAATGGATGTGCGATTTATATATTTTGAGATTTATACGTGTGAGTTTACGTGAGTTCTGTAAGAAACACCAAAATTTATGAGATTTATATCAAGTGCCAGTGAATGCAAGTTTAAATATGAGATAATAAAAATAATAATCCTTGCATTTGATACAGCGCCTTAGCACATCTTCGAGATGTCTCAAAGCGTTTCACAGAATATACTGTAAAGTGAATTGACTGTGTATTTTGTGGACAAAACGCCAATGTATACAAGCTCTATACATAGCACCAGTGTATTTGAGCTCTCTATAAAGTTAATTGAGTGTCATTTAAAGCTCTACACCAATTGTCAGCTGTTTGGAACTCTCAGTCTCTTTTGGATACTCGTAAATATGGTGATGGATTTCTGCATGTGTCAGAGCCCCGGCTGACCAAAACACATCCCAGAAAAATATACTGACAATGAAGAAACCCCTCAAGTGTCAAACCAACTCCGCTCCTCTGTGGTAATAGAGGCAGTATTCCTCCTCACTGAACAGCTGGGGAAGCCTGTGGATTTGTTTGTACCTATATATATTATACATATATTTAAGATATTTGGCAAAAGAACCAGAGGGGAGATGAGGAGAATTTTGTTTACAGAGAGTTGTTACGGTCTGGAATGCACGTACTGAAAGGGTGGGGAAACCGATTCAATAACAACTTGCAAAAGGGAATTGGATAGGAACTTGTAAAGGAAACATTTGCAAGGACATGGGGAAACAGAAGGGTAGTGGGGCTGATTGGGTGGCTCTTCCAAAGAGTCGGTACAGGCATGATGGGTCGAATGGCCTCCTTCTGTGCTGTAATATTCTATGATTCTATATCATCACATGGGCGGCCCCAGGTGTAGGTGTGTATTGTGAGGGAGGTGGAGGGGGGAATTTCTTCAGAGGAGAAGAATCTCAACTTGATGGGCTTCTGGGACATGTTTTGCTCCTTCCCATTTATCAGTCTGCATCTATGTCATACTATCACACTGTTGGGTGCCAAGTGTAGCAGGAATCCCTGCAGTCAAATCCTGAGATCTCTTCAAAGATACATAGACACATAGGAGGCCATTCAGCCCCTTGAGCCTGTTCCCCATTTTATAACATCATGGCTGATCTGCATCTCAACTCCAATGACCCGCCCTTGCCCTGTATCCCTTGATGCCCTGACCTAACAAATATCTAACCACCTCAGTCTTGAAAATGTGAATGGATCCACATTTTGGGGAAGTGAATTCCAGATTTCCACTGCCCTTTGGATGAAAACCTGCCTCCTGATTTCACACCAAAATGGCCTAACTCTAGTTTTGAGATTATGCCCCCCTTTGTTCGATACAGAGAAAAATTGTTTCTCTGCATTGTCCCTATCAAATCCCTTTATTATTAAAACCTCAATCAGATCAACCACATGGCTGGGATTCGAAAACAACTTTTAAGAGAGAAGTAGATAATTATTTGGGAGGACAAGTTTGCAGGGCTATGGGGAGAGTGTGGGGGAGTGGGGTTGATCAGGGCTATGGGGAGAGAGTGGGGGAGTGGGGTTGATCAGGGCTATGGGGAGAGAGTGGGGGAGTGGGGTTGATCAGGGCTATGGGGAGAGAGCGGGGGAGAGGGGTTAATCAGGGCTATGGGGAGAGCGCGGGGAGTGGGGTTGATTTGGAAGCTCTTTTCAAAGAGCGGCACAGACACGATGGGCCGAATGGCTCCTTCTGTGCTGTATAATTCTATGATTCTATGAGATCACCCCTCAACATTTTAAACAAAAATACAGACTAAACTAAAGCAATTATTAATGAATGTATATTGGGGGCTGCAGTTAATAATAATTCTTGCACTTGTTATAGTGCCTTTTCATGTGGTTGAGGCGTTTCAAAGTGCATCACAGAATATACTATAAAGTGAATTGTTTATATTTTTGGGGCGAAATGTTTGATCTTGCTCTGTGTCTGTGTCTCCCTGCAGTGGAATAAGGATCACTGGATCGTGGCTGGGAAGTCGGAACCTCGGCCTCCGTGTAGGACATATGTTCATCCGGATTCTCCAGCTCTGGGCAGCCACTGGATGAAACAGCCATTCGCTTTCCAGAAACTCAAACTCACCAACAACACTCTGGATCAGTCTGGCCATGTAGGTGATGAGTGGTGGATGGCTCTCCTTCTCCTGCTTCTTGTCTCTATTTAACTGCACTTGATATTAACACCATATTTAGTTTTTTTGCTCATCAAGTAGCTCAGTGGTTAGAGCACTCGCCTCGCAAGCGAGAGGACCCAGGTTCGATTCCCAGTAGGGAAAAATGTTGGACAAGTTTCCTTACTGCACACGCCTCTGTTTACCTAGCAGTAATAGGAACCCGGTCGTTAGTCGATTGGTGGATCACTTTTTTAAAAATAATAATTTGGGCACTCAATCCACGACTGTCTGTGGGACGCTGCTGTGCACAATTGGCTGCTGCGTTTCACCCACAAGATATATAGTCAATTCACTTTATAGTGTATTCTGTGAAGCACGTTTTGATGCTGTGATAAGGCACTGTATCAAATGCAAGGATTATTATAGTTTTATTATTTATATCAAGTGCTTTAGAACTTTTCTATTTTTACAGCTAGCTCTGGTCAGGTGTAGCATGGGTTACGTACAAAGTAAAGTCCCCCCCCAACCCATCACCTCCATTTTACAAAACTCCAATGTTCCTGTTTTCTGTCGCAGCCATTTTACCCAGTTATTCTCCTCCACAAGCTCCTAAGGTCTAATGTTCCTAATGTTAACTGCAATCTGCATGGAAATCAAAACTCTCTGTACATGCTCTCCTGAGTTTGAGACCGTGATTGTCCTGTGTGGACCTCATCATATTGACTGCGGAATGAACTCACCTAAAGAGCTAGTGTTAAAAGCACCACAGGGTCACATAGACAAGAACATTGAACCACTTGATGCATGGTCTTTGTTGAGTTAGCTGATTTCAGCTAAAACTGGGGCAGCTCTTTCAAAGATGGGCTGAATGGCCTCTATCTGTGCTGTACAATATTATGATTCTATGATTACCCAGTGCCCCTGGGCTAAGGGAATGAGAATTGGTCAGAGTTCCTGCTCCAGGTTGGTAACTCGTGATTCCTATGCTGGAATCTACATGTGGACACCCTGTGAGAACAGGCTCAGGCTCCATCAGTTTGCTGATGTTTTTGGGTCACGTATAAAGAATGAGCACTTGGATGCTCCTCTCCTACCCACCTCTTCACTCAGCTGGGACTCACCTTCTGCATATCCCTTGTCCTCACTGTGCTATATAAATGCAAGTTGTTATTATGTTATTGTTGTTGTAGCTGCTTCCTTTGCTGTGATAACACACCTATTATTGAACCTCTTTTTTTTCAGCTTATTCTACACTCGATGCACCGCTACCAGCCTCAGTTTCACATTGTCCAGGCCGACAGCTTGTTCAATATCTCATGGAGCATTTTCCAAACCTTCACATTCCCAGAAACTGTGTTCATGGCTGTCACTGCCTATCAGAACGAGAAGGTGAGGCTCCTATTGTAACAGAGAGACCGTTCGAGAAGAGGAGTATTTGTCACTCCACACCCCAGGGGAGACAGGAGAGGGAGCAAACTCAGTGAGCAAACTCACTTTTCTAAGCGAGGGAGCATTTGAGAAGTCTGGGCCACACTCACATTAGGAGGATTCCCTGTAGGAGTGGTGAAAACAGATTCAATAACAACTTTCAAAAGGGAATTGAAAAGGAAAAACTTGCAGGGCTATGGGGAAAGAGCGAGGGACTGGAACTGAATGGGAAGCTCTTCCACAGAGCCTCAAAGGCACGATGGGCCAAATGGCCTCCTTCTGCGCTGTAATATTCTATGATTCTATGATTCTATTCTATGACTTCATCACATCTCAAGAAAAAATAGTGACCAACAAAAAGTAATTGCATGTGAAGCATTTTGAGATGTTTGCACTTTTTTGGCACTATTTAACAAATGCAAGGATTACTGTTTTATTATTACAAAAACTCCTTGAATTGTCAATTGCAGAAGTTTTCTCATTCTCCATACATAATAGGGAATATCTGATCATTTTATTCAATATAATTTCAGATCACAAAACTCAAGATTGACCACAATCCATTTGCCAAAGGATTTAGAGAGACTGGATTGAACAATAAAAGGTATGTGTATTTTCATGCAAGTGTAAGGCTATGTGTTTGGCTCATAGAGTTCAACTGGTTTTGCTAGAAGAACAAAAGATATGTCTGATCTCTATAGTCCTGGCAACCACAAGTGATGTGAACGGACGATTTGATTTAGAATGTAAGGTGACAAATAGGTCGACAAAACTATGAATAGAGCAAATGGAATTCTAGGTTTTATAAACAGGGTTATTGAATATAAAACCTAAAAGGTAATGCAAAACTTGTATGAATCATTAGTTAAACCGCAGTTGGAATATTGGTCAACCCACTTTTAGGAAGGAGGTCAAGTCAACAGCTGGGGTGCGGAGGAGATTTATGGGAAATGATACTGGGAATGGGTGGTTTGGCCTATGAGCAGAGACTGGAGGAACTGGGACTTCTTCTGTTTTAACAAAGAAGGTTAAAGGGTGATCTGGTAGAGGTCTTTAAAATTATGAGGGTTTTGATAGGGATGATAGGGATTAATTATTTCCACTGGTCGTTGAGTCAGTGACTTGAGGGCAACAATTTAAGACAGTTGCAAACAAACAAATGAGGATATTAAAAGAGAATTCATAGTAGTTTTCAAAGGAGAGCATTACAAATTTGCAAGGTTATGGGGTAAGAGCAGGGGAGTAGGAGTAGTTGGTAGGTCTTTCAAAGCCAGCACAGCCGACACAACATGTGCCAAATGGTCTCCTTCTGTGCTGTAAGATGCTATGATTCTATGAACATACGAACATAAGAATTGCTAGATTAAATAAGCTCCATTCAGTTCGCCATCCACCATCCTGGCAGTAGGATGCACACGTCCCAAACTGCAATATCCTATTTGTGTTGTGGTGACCAGAACTGCACAGAGTGCACAAGTGCAGTCACACGCACTGGTGATTTAGAACCAGACAGATATCTAAAAAGTAGTAAATTACAGGACAGGGGTATGAAGAAAGGATTGGTAAAGGGAACTGAAAGGATTGTTCTTTAAAAGAGCAGCACACCCACAATATCCTGAACAACAACAACAACAACAACAACAAGATTCCATTTATAAAGCGCCTTTCACGTCAGGAGGACGTCCCAACCTTACAACCTTCTTCTGTGCTATAAATTCCTGTGGTTCTATGCTGAGCCAAATGCTCATTCAGTATCCACACAAGAGCACTGTCAACCGCAGTCACTGGGAAGCAGAAGGCTGTGTAGGAGGTCTATTACCTGACACATATGGGAGGCCTCATTTTGTTTTGTTTTGTTCTTGTTCTACCTCACAGGGAGCAGTTAGTGAGAGCTCAGTCCAACCTAGACACAGCATTGAAAAGAAAAAGGAGAGCACTGTCTGAGCGGAGCAGTGAGGGTAAGAAATGTCCAAGCAAATGCTTGTTTGTGTGGCGTTCCTCAGGGCTCTGACCATTGTCCTCTCGTCTTCAATATCTATATGCTCCCTCTTCATGACATCATGCGTAGACATGGGGTCAACTTCCACATGTATATGGATGACACCCAACTCCATCTCTCTGCCTCCATCCTTGACTCCAGGACCCACTGTCAGACAGACAGAATGTCTGTCGGACATCAAGTTCTGGATGAGAGACAACTTTCTACAATTGAATGTCAGCAAGACCGAGGCTCTCCTGATTGGCTCATGCCAGCGATTCCGCACCTCAGGCACTGACAGCATCAGCATCCACGGATGCCCACTCCACCTTGCCAAGCCAGTCCGGAATCTTGGCATCTTGTTTGACCCTCAACTCTCCTTTCTACATCCGTGCCAGGACCTGCTCTGCCATCCCCCACCTCCATATCTCCCCTCAGGCCACCAAGACCCTCATCCACACATTCATCACATCCAGGCTTGACTAAGCTAAGTCCCTGCTTGTCAGCCTTCCCACTTCGTCCCTCTACAAGCTGCAGATCATCCAGAACTCTGCAGCTCGTGTCCTCTCCCACACCAGGCTCCGTAACCTCATCAACCCCACCTTCGCCAGGCTCCACTGGCTTCCCATCCCCCAGAACATAGAGTTCAAAATTCTGGTCTCACCTTCAAAGCACTCCACGGCCTTGCTCCTCCCTACTTCTGTAACCTGCTGACCCCATATAGACCTGCCAGCTTCCTTACCAACTTGAACTTACAACCTTCTGACTCGGGTGAGAGTGCTACCCACTGGCCACTGACACACCAAAGTAGAGAGGAGAAACAGGGGAAAAACAGCCCTGAAAATAATAATAATACTTACAATTTGATACAGTGCCTTATCACGTCTTCAAGATGTCTCCAAACACTTCACAGAATATATTGTAAAATGAATTGACTGTATATTTTGTGGGCAAAACACAGCAGCTAATTCCCCAGAGCAGTGTCCCACAAACAGTTGTGGATTGAGTGTCCAATTTTTATTGATTTTGGGTGGGAGACTGATTTCTTTCTGTTCTAGATACTATTTGATAAACTTTGAAATCTGAAATGATGTTGAATCTAGATCCAACAGAACCTGAGTTGCCGTGTGAAGAGTTGAGTGCAGATATCAGAGCTGGTGAGCAGATCAACACAGCTTACAGTGCGGGGTCGGGAGAATGGTACTTACAGCAGGAAGTTGGCCCAAAGGTATATCCAGCGAAAATCGATTCCTCGCACTCCAGAGAAGCTGAGGACACGAGTGCAGGCAAACAGCCTCCCCCACAGCCACCTTCACAGCACACGGGTAAGAAAATGACTGACAATCATACCTAGATTTCCAAATAACAAATTTTTCCAGCCATGACATTTTTGTCTGATTTCCCCTTGGTCCAATACAGTGCTTTTTTTTTACACTGATGTCATCGATCATTATTGTTCAACTGCCATTAAAGACTTGCGCATTTCCCGGCTTGAACATTTCCCTGCATCAGCAACTCTAATCCAGTGATTGCCCGGCCTCCAGTACTGAGACAGCGCTGGTCAAAGTCACTAATAACAGTTGTCATTCTCCGTGAAAAGCGTTAAACAAACGTAATTTTGTTGTTGGTGATCTCTTTGACATTGTCGACCACTGGCAACATCTGTCTTTGAAGCTCTGTTGCCCAACCAGCTCTGGCAAGCGCTTGAGATATCTTCCCGACATGACAGTTAAATTCCAAATCAAAACAAGTGTTTTAAGAATTTTATTTTGAGACAAAATGGCCTTAAGGGACATAGGGAGCAGGAGAAGTCCATCCCGCTCACCAGGCCAACACCTCTGGTTTCTTGGCAGACCTTTAATCTAATGCCCTTCGATGCCACCCCCTTTTGCTTTACAGGTAATTAATTAGGTGGAATTTCAGGTCTGGTGTTTGGGTTTGTAGACTTGCCTACATGCTTCTGCTGTAAGCACCACTGTCCACTTTTATTGTTGAGGCACAGTAAACCTTCTCCTGTGCTCTCGCTATCCCTCTGAGTGCTTCATGCTGACAATAGGCATAAAGGAGGAAAAATGTCCCAGTTTCCAAGCAATGACATTCCGAAGATTCAGACAAAGCGACGTTACTGGTTAAAATATATCACAGTCTTAACGGACTCTGATGTGAAAGGATTGTACCAAAAGTCAACGTATTAGTTTATTTTATTAAAAGTGTAATTTGTGGTGTAGTTTTCACTCACACTATCTTCTCTTGGACCTTCTTTTAGCAACATCGATGTTCTGAATGAATCGCAGTCAGACAGTGGCTCCAGGTTACAATGCGGCAGTGATTTCAGGTCAATGCTTTGCACTGATCTCAAGCCTCCTCCAGAACAAATGCCCAGTCGATCCAATGTGGAAGTCAAACCAACAACTTCAGAGACAGTGCCAGAAGCCTACAACCACCCTCTCTCTAGTTGCCATCTCTCCCAGGACTACGGCAGTGTGTTTAACCTCCCAGTCAGCAGTGGGGGGAAGCCGGGGCTGGTTGGCCGAATGTACAATCCTCCCAGCCTTCAGGGTCCTTGGAACGCCTTGGCTCACCGCCCGCACCTGAATGACATCAACCCAACAGGATACCCAGTGCACCTCGGCACTGAATGTGGAAGCCATGGAATGCATGGGTACCACAGTGCCAGTACAATGGCTGAGCAGACCCAATGCCCTCTGTTCCCATATGCATTTTGGTGAAAGGACGAGATACAAACCTGGGGCAATAGATTTACCAGAGAGGTGCTGAGAAGAGAAAGAGAAGCACTGGTAATGATAACTATTAAGTTACTTTTTCGTGGTACCTGTCATTTGGGTTTTGCCTCACAGGTCTACAACTCTCTTCAAGTCTCATTGATCAGCCAAATAGCTGCTCTGCCACCATCCACACTTTGGCAGGTCTGCAGTGACAGTTAAACCCGAGGTTTGATTATTGTAAAAATAAAAAAATAATAATAATTTGGTCACTCAATCCACGACTGTTTGTGGGATGCTGCTGTGCGCAATTGGCTGCCGCGTTTCACCCACCAAATATACAGTCAATTCACTTTACAGTATATTCTGTGAAGCGCTTTGAGTCGTCTCAAAGATGTGATAAGGAGCTATATCAAATGCAAGGATAATTATTATTATTAGTGCCCTTTCCTCTCAGGCGGAAAAGGAAAAGGGAGAGGATGAGAGAGAAAACAAAGGGGAAGAGAGCAGAGAAGGGGGAGATAGCATAAGTGAGCACAGTGGTTCCTTTCTACATGGGAGAGGCAACTTTCAGCAAGATGAATTTACTTCCAAAATGTGTGATTGATATTCTACTCCCCTTCCACATTCTAAGCACATCTTGCCAACGCCCAGCCATGACACTTGTCCCTTACGATGCTCAAAAATCATGCTGATCAGAGCTGCTTTGTAAAGCTTCTGAGAAGAGGCAGGTGTGAGGAGTGCAGCAAACAGCAGCTGATCCATGGGGGAGCTGGAGTCATTATGGCAACCGTTTTACAGTGGGAATGGAACAGGTTTCAAATAAGATCACAGCAGATGCCTGCACATCCTGTGAAGCAGCCTATCTGTCACAGTCTTCCTACCGACTGCAGGTGAAACTGATTTGTTGGCGTTTGCTTCTGTTCCACATTACAATACACAATAAGATTTGTACATTCTCCCATTGGCATGATCTTCACCAGCAGAACTGCTCTCAGATTCTCTGATCGTCCTTCTTTGTGGGAGAAGTAATGTACCTGACTGCTTCCTCTTGTGAAACCTCTGTAACCGTGGACCTGTGGAAAACCCGGCCTCACGAATGCTTGTGCGACTGCATGCGGATGGATGATGATTGGATATGTACATGCTCCTGACTTCTCTTGGGAAAATTGCCTGTATTTCCATCTCATAAGCATTTCAATGCTGTAATTTCTCATGTGTAGCAATTTTCCATCCTCCCCCCAAAAAAGTGAGCAGGGAGGCACAAGAGCTGGCGTGAATTATTTATTAATATTTCTTATATTTTATCAGCAGAGACGGTTTATCTCCCAGGTGATCCATAAATCTGCATTTTAAAGACTCATGTATAAATTTCTGAGAATTCCGTAAGTTTAGAAGTAGTGTGATTAAACGCTGATTTTCTTTCTGAATCGATGTGCTGCTTGTCTAGAAATATACAACTTGCACCACTAGAACGGCCTTCATTTAGCATAACATGTCGGGGTGTTTCACAAGGACAGTGTTGAATGTGGAGCGGGAGGGGGGGTGGGGAGGGGCAGGTGGTGGAGATGACATGGTTGTAAAGGTAGATTTTTAGGCAGGATTTGAAGACAAATAGAGAGGGGACAAGATGGAAGGGTAGAGGGAGGGAGTTCCAGAGGTAAGAGGTAAGAGTAGATGAAGGCTTGGCCCCTATGGTGAGGGGATACAACAACAATAATAATAATATAATAATAATAATAATGATGATCCTTGGATTTGATGTAGCGCATTATTGCGTCTTCGAGAAACAACAACAACAACTTGCATTTATACAGCGCTCTTCACATGTGGTAGCATCCCAGAGCGCTAGACAGTGGTGGAGTCTGATCCCGAGCCAGGGGGAGAGGGAAGGGAGAGGTGACCGTAGACACAGATGAAAAAGGAAGGTCTTTAGGCAGGATTTGAATTTGAAAGTGGGGAGGGAGGGATTGAGGGAAAGAGTTCCAAAGTTTCGGGCAGTAGTGGCTGAAGGCACGGCCACCGATGGTGAAACGGAGGATAAGAGGGGCAAATAGCCAGCTGAGCGAAGACAGCGGGTGGGGAAGTGGGGGNTAAGCAGTTCGGAGAGGTAGGGAGGTGTGAGGGATTTGAAAACAAGTGAGAGCACCTTGAAATCAATCTGTTCAGTAATTGGAAGCCAGTGGAGCCTGACAAGGTACGGGGGGGTACAGAGTTTTGTGTGGGTGAGTATACAGGGGGCAGAGTTTTGAATTAATTGGATATGTGTATGGTGGAGCTGGGGAGACCAGCGAGGAGGGCACTGGAATAGTCCAGCCGGGAAGTGAGAAGGTGTGGACGAGGGTTTGGGCTGGGTGGTTGTGAGGCATGGACAGAGGCGGACAACAATAACAACAACAAATTACACCTGTATTGCGCCTTTCATATCGGGAAGACGTCCCAATGTGATGAAGGTGGAAAAAAGCAAGTCCTGGTCAGGGAACAGATGTGGGGACAGGTTGTGATTGACCATATATGAGATCAAGAAGATGGGAAGACTTGGGGAAACCCAACTACGTTGCATTCAAGTATTACGGTGTGAAGTCCTGTAGCTCAGTGGTTAGAACACTTGCTTTGCAAGCAAGAGACCTGGGTTTGATTCCCTGCAGGAGGTGAAACCTTGGGCAAGTTTTCTTACACCATACGCCTGATAATAACCCCTCAAAAAAACCCAATAATGAATTGGTCATTTCAATCCAGGACTGTTTCTGGGACACTGCTGTGTGCAATTAGCTGCCACCTTTCACCCACAAATATACAGTCAATTCACTTTACAGTATATCCTGTGAAGCACTTTGAAGACGTGATAAGGCTATATCAAATGCAAGGATTATTATTATTATTACTATCATAATTATTAATAGTAGTATTATTTATCTCATCACACAGAGGATACAGTTCAAGATCCTAGTCCTCACCTTCAAAGCCCTCCACGGTCTTGCTCCCCCCGACCTCTGCAACCTCCTACCACCCTACTCGTTCCCTCCGCTCATTGGGCTCCGGCCTGATTCAAGTTCCCCACCTTGCTCACCCCACTACGGTGGGTAGGCCTTCAGCCACTCTGCCCCCATCCTCTGGAATCATCCTGTAGTCCCTCCGCCTCGCCCCCTCCCTTGCCTCCTTCAAGACCCATCTGAAGACCCTCCTCTTCGACCGTGCCTTCGATCACCCTCCTTCCCCCTGCCTTCCAGCCTCCCCTATCCCGACCCCCAACTCGGGTCCGAAAAACTAATTGTCCAATGCTTTGGGATGTCCTCCTGACATGAAAGGCGCTATACAAATGCAATTTTGTTGTTGTTGCATTTCCACAAAGCTTTCGACCTCGTGCTCAGGCTGAAAGTGGGAAAACATGGACAAATCTTAGAATTTATCCAGCTCCAAGGGTTGACAATGGACTTTCTGAGCCCATCCCTCTGGAATGGTGGATAAGGCAATGCTGCCCATTGTCACCCACACTATTCGATTTCACTCTAGCTCAGCGGTTAGAGTACTCGCCTCGCAAGTGAGAGTCCCTGGGTTTGATTCCTGGGCAAGGGGAAACATTAACAAGTTTCCTTACTCCACACGCCTCTGATTACCAGCAGTCAGTAGGAATCCGGTTGTTAGTTGATTGACGAATTGCCAACCTTTCAAAAAAATAATAATAATAATTTGGTCACTCAATCCATGACTGTTTGTGGGACGCTGCCGTGCGCATTTGGCTGCAGAATTTCACCCACAAAATATACAGTCACTACAGTTTATAGTATATTCTGTGAAGCGCTTTGAGATGTCTCAAAGACATGATAAGGTGCTGTATCAAATGCAAGGATTATTATTATAATAATGTGGTGTTGATGGCATGGAGCGGGACAGGCTTGGTGTATCTGTTCCAGGGCCTCTCTCCAACATGATTGTGGCCAGTCTATTTGCAGATGATATTGTGCTGTCGCAGCCTCAATCTGGGACTCACCATCATGAACACTGGGACACGATGGTGGGTGACCCCCCCCCCCTTGTGAGGAATCATTGTTCTGTACGGCTCGAGTGGACGTCAAGGGTATTTCATTGGAAGATACCAGGGGCATCAGTCCCAATAGTGGCTTCTTATCGGTCACTGGGATTGTGGCAGACTCCGAGCTTGGCCTGGACAGTCATGAACGACAGCAATGTCACAATCCAGGTCGAACACATGGCAATGTTAGAGTGTGTGCTAATAGCTCACCTTTATGGTTCTGAGCTCCTGGGAATGTAGGGGAGAGGTTTTCTCCAACCCATTTATAGAGTCTTTTCTTTTCAAGTTCCTATCCAATCCCCGTTTGAAAGTTGTTATTGAATCTGTTTCCACCCTTTCAGGCCGCGCATTCCAGACTGTAACAGCTCTCTGTGTAACAAAAATTATCCTCATCTCATCTCCCCTCTGGTTCTTTTGCCAATTATCTTAAATCTATGTCCTCTGGTTACCGACCCACCTGCAAGTGGAAACAGTTTCTCCCTATCTGCTCTTGGAGATAGAGACTCCTCATCATTTTGAACCCTCTATTAAATCTCCCCTTAACCTTCTTTGCTCCAAGGAGAACAAGCCCAGCTTCTCTAGTCTCTCCACAAAACTAAAGTCCCTCATCCCTGGTAGCATTCTGGTACGTCTCCTCTGCATTCTCTCCAAGTCCTTGATATCCTTCCTAAAGTGTAAATAGCTGCTTGAATTTGATGTAGTGCTCGATCACGTTGAAATAATGATAATAATCCTTACATTTGATATAATGCCTCATCACATTGTTGAGATGTTTTTGCGCTTCACAAGATTTTACTGTTAAGTTTAACGACTGTTTTTGTGAGTGAACACGGTGGCTAATTTGTGTATAGCAATGTCCCATAAACAGCCGTGAAGTGAACAACCAATTTCATTTGGCTGATTGCTGGCCAGTAAAAATTCCCTTCTCTTTTTCGAATAGCACCATGGGATCTTTAACACCCACCTTAACACC